TAAACCCTAAATGAACCCTAAACCCTAAACCCTGAACCTTGTATACTCCTTGATGAATCCGAATGTCTAGTGCCCGTGTCACGAAGTCCCACAGCCCTACTTGGAGGCTCATCTTACTTATTACCCAATTACAACTGTACATATAACCCACTTATAAGCCCTTAAGTGCCCTAATATGGTTATAAGAACAGTTATAAGTACAGTTATCATTGGTTAATAAGTACCATGAACCTCCGAGTAAGCCAAGGATCTGCACCGAGACGATCAACTCAGAAGCATCTCGCCCGAAAAAAAATTTCTTAGTAGTAGAGTAGGTAACCTTTAACCTTTTTGGGGTAGTATAACCCCCTTAGAACCCCAAAGGTCGACCTTTAGTTCCCATACTTGCGCTGGACAACTAAGAGGTCCTTCCTCCCCGTTTCTTTTCAGGGTTCGGGCTTCAACATACCCTCAACCCGAAACAAAGCACCTTTATTGTAAATTGCGTACCTTGCTATGCTGCGGCCCGAAAAGTCTCGGGGGTGGAAGTGTTGAGGGTTTTGCACCTTGGGGACTTCTGTGTTGCCCATTTAGGTACAGGGACCCTTAGGAAACCCTTTTAGGGTTCATTTGGTCCCGGAGGAAGTCTCTGTTTGTAGAAGGGCCTCGGGTACGCTCCCGCGGACGTCGGCGACTCCTCAAATCAAAGGTGTTGGGTTTCGGGTTTTATATAGGGTTTAGGGCTTTTCAAAACCCTAAACACTAAACCCCAGATGTAACCCTGACTTGACATCCAGAGGAGACCTCCAAGCGCCAAAAGAGTCTTGCTCGCAGTTGCTTTCGGAGAGTTTTACTTTCAGACCTTCTAGTGTTCTTAAAGGAGGGGGTTTCAAGGGGGTCATGCATCCAAAGGTTCCCTAATACTCCCCCCATGGTTCCCTTTAGGCTCCCTAAGCTTCCCTACGGTTCCCTAGGTAAGGTACCCCTCATGAACCCCCTCCCCTCAGGACCCTAGAAAAGACCAGAACGAAGTTCCTCATGAAAGGAAGCCCCAACAGTCCATGTACCCATAATAGTATATGATACCTGGGCCCTAAAGCTACGATATGGGAAGCCGGGTCTTTCCTTTAGGGTTTAGGGTTTAGGGTTTAGGGTTTAGGGTTTAGGGTTTAGGGTTTAGGGTTTAGGGTTTAGGGTTTAGGGTTTAGGGTTTAGGGTTTAGGGTTTAGGGTTTAGGGTTTAGGGTTTAGGGAAGTTTAGGGTTCAGGGTTCAGTACCCGATCCTTGCAACAGGCTTGCCAAAGTCGGAGGTCCAGGGTTGAGGGCCGGACGTATTCTCTAAGGGTAGTTGCATGCGGTGTTATAGGGTATCTAAGGGGTATATAAGGGGGGAATTAAGAGGTCATGCAACTGCCCTAAGATATTCGAGTTAATGCACAGGATACCTCAAAAACCTAAACCCTAAACCCTAAACCCTAGAACCTAAAGGACAGTGGGTGTTTGGGTCCACGACCCCAACCAACGAAACTCTTGGTGCCCCTGCCGGGGTTCCCAGAAAGCCCCAAGAGCCCGACTCAAGCGTAAAACCCTAAAGGGTTTAGGGGTTAGGGGTTAGGGGTTAGGGGTTAGGGTTTAGGGTTTAGGGTTCCCTTAACCTGGAGCCCATAGAGACCCTTATAAACCCTAACTAGGCGCAAAGCCCTCCTCGCCAAACCCTGAACCCTAAACCCTTATAAACTTTTATAAACCCTAATCAAGCGCAAAACCCTCCACCCCAAACCCTAAACCACAAACCCAATCCCGAAACCCTGAACCCTAAACCCTAAAACTCTATAAGCCTATTACCCTATACCCCTATGACCCTATAACCCTCTAGCCCCGAGGAAGGACTGGACCCTAGACCCTAAACCCTGAACCTTAAACCCTAAACCCTAAAGCCTAACCCCTAAACCCTAAACCCTAAATACTAAACCCTAAACCACCCCTAAACCCCCCCTAACCCCCCAGGAAGGACTGGGGCACGCTGCGTGACGTCGCGCGCTGCTTGGCCGATGCCCCCGCGGCCTTCGGCCTCCGCGGCCTCCTCTTGGAGCAGAGCCTCAGTTGGTTTAGGGTTTAGGGTTTAGGGTGTAGGGTTTGGGGTTTGGGGTTTGGGGTTTAGGGTCTAGGGTTTAGGGTTTCGGGTTTGGGGTTTGGGGTTTAGGGTTTAGGGTTTAGGGTTTAGGCCCCCCCCTCAAGTAACTCCTATATCCCCCTTGGGAATAGTTTTTGTTTATATAAAGGGAGTATAGACTCGAAATAAGCTTCATTATCCTTAAATAGCCTTACTTTCTGGGGGGAACCAAGGGGGGGGGGTAGTATAGAGGGGCTTACCCAAAGGGTCCATGTTCCTAAATAGGGAATACTTGGGACTTTAGGGCCCTCAATTACATAAGAATGAGGTACATGGACCCTTAGGGATAGTTTTCTGTAACCTAAACCCTAAACCCTAAACCCTAAACCCCAAACCCCAAACCCCAAACCCCAAACCCCAAACCCCAAACCCCAAACCCCAAACCCCAAACCCCAAACCCCAAACCCTAAACCCTAAACCCCAATCCCTAAACCCTAAAACGACCCCAACGGCTGCATCGTTTCAGATGGGGTTTAGGATGGTTTAGGGTTTTGGGCCTCGACCCTAAATCCCCTGCTCCGAGGGCTTGTGGTGCAGGAGTTCGTCCGAAGGGCTTAGGGTTTAGGGTTTAGGGTTTAGGGTTTAGGGCTTCGGGTTTAGGGTTTTTACCTTACTCCCTAAGCCTCCCCCGCCAGCAAACCTCAACAGAAATCTCTACGCTCAGATCTAAATTGATCCAACCTGCTACCCCTAAGGTTGAGTTCCACAGCATCCTCATAAATCTCCAGGGTCCAGAGAAATTTGAAAGGCGACTCTCAGCCCTAAGTCCTAAACCCTAAACCCTAAACCCTAAACCCTGAACCCTAAACCCTAAACCCTAAACCCTAAACCCTAAACCCTAAACCCTAAACCCTAAACCCTAAACCCTAAACCCTAAACCCGAAGCTGCAGGAAGGCCAAGCACGGTGCCATGGCGACCTGGCCTGACTATGGGGCTGGCAGCGGCTATCTGGAGCGCGAAGAGTCCTAGCCCTCAAGCGCCCTAAACCTTAAACCCTAAACCCTAAACCCTAAACGCTTAGCCCTAAGCCCTAAACCCTAAACCCTACACCGTGGGGGTTTAGCTAAATCCTACAATCCTCAGAAACCCCATAAACCTGAAAGCCCTATAAACCCGATAAACCCTACGAGGTTGCGCCCTAAGCCCTAAGCCAGAAGTCTTTTCATGCGTTGCTCCTTACCCCTAAACCCTAAACCCTAAACCCTAAGCCCTAATCAACTCTAAGACCTCAGCATCCCACACCCTGCGCCCTCAAACCCGAAGCCCCTAAGGGCCAAATGATGTTTAGGGCTTTGGGTTTAGGTTTAGGGTTTAGGGTTTAGGGTTTAGGGTTTAGGGTTTAGGGTTTAGGGTTTAGGGTTTAGGGTTTAGGGTTCAGGGTATTTAGAGGATTCAAGCGGCATATAAGGGTTCGCCCACATGTAGGTTGGAAGGTTTCAAAGTGTTTGTTCTTAGGCTTAAGGTTTTCAAAGTTTAGGCTTTAGGGCTCTAGGGTTGTTGAACGGGCTAGGACTGGAAAGCGCCGGCGTCTTTCCACTGCCGAGCGGCCCCGGAAGCGGAGAAAAGAGGGCGCAGCTGTGCGAATTCTTGCTTTTAGGACAAAGTGGGCGTTGCTCAAACAGTGTCACCTCCTAATATACCCCAGAATGCTATGACCCTTACTTCTCGGACACCCAAAAAAGGGACTTCTAATTTCCGGAAAGTCCAGGTTTAAGGTGTACAGGTTTGCGGGTCCAGGTTTTCCCCACCCTGTACCCGTTGAACCGGAGGGTTTAGGGTCTAGGTTATCAACCCTATAAACCCTAAACCCTAAACCCTCAAGGCTTCGGCAGATAGGGCCATGGAACAGTCAGGCCATGGAACAGTCAAGTATCCGTTAGGGTTTGGGGCCTAGGCACCCCAAACCCTCAGCCCTAAGCCCCAACCCTAAACCCTAAACCCTAAACCCTAAAACCCTAAATCCTAAACCACCCTCCCTAAACCCTAAACCACCCTCTCGGGCCCCAGGCTCTCAACTGCAAGTGCGTCTAACCGATGCCGCACGCGTCCCAACCCGATTTTACCTTGGAGACCTCACGCCGAAAACTCTAAAATACTTCCAGCCGAAAAATTGCAGCATAAATCCACAACACCCTAAACCCTAAAGCCTAAACTAACCTTAAAAGCCTTGAGCTGCTGCAAAGCACCCTAAAACCAACAAACCTCTACAGCCCCAAGAACCCGCAGGCGCCAGACACAACTAGGCTTTGGGGCTTGGGGTTTAGGGTTTACGGTTTGGGGTCTATAGTTTTTTTGCTTAGCGTGTAGGGGTTTCGGGCTTAGGGTAAGCCGTGTCAGCACCTGTATAGCAAAGGCTCAAAGAAAATCCGTGAACAAGAGCCGCAGCAACCCCCTACCTGCCTCAACATGCAAAGGCCGGAGCCGCAGTAGCCCTTGAAAAACCGGAGCAGCCTCCACCCCCCCAAACCCTGATCCCCACACCCTAACCCTCAAAAACCGTATCAAACCCGATGAACCCGATAAACCCCCATAAACCCTACAAGCCCTGTAAACCCGATGAAGTCTATACACCCCTATACACCCTATAAGCCCTGCAAACCCTACAAACCCTAAATTCAAGACCCTGTCAACCCTATAAACCCTACAAACTATAAACCCCATAACCCTTGAACCCTATATTAACCCCATAAGCCCTATAAACCCTACACTGACACACCCGAAAAACCTTATGAACCTTGAACCCTTGAACCCTTGAACCCTAGAACCCTAAACCCCAAACCCTAAACCCCAAACCCTAAACCCTAAACCCTAAACCCTAAGTAACCCTATGAACCCTAAGCCCACAAGGTTGCGCCCTCCCTGCCCGGGACTTTCCGCAGTCCCTTTCACCCAGTGTGTCGCTGCGGCCCCAGGTTGCCCGCGTTTTTAAGGTTAGGGTTTAGGGTTTGGGGTTTGGGGTTTAGGGTTTAGGGTTTAGGGTTCGGCATTTGGGGTTTAGGGGGTAGGGGTTTGGGGGCTTAGGGGTTTTGGGAGAAAGCAGGGGTGGAGGGGTTCAGGATTCAGGGTTTAGGGTTTCGGGTTTTAGGGCTTTTGGGGGGGTGGGGGGGGGGGGTTGTTAGAGTTATTCTGGGCACGGGGTTCAAGGCTGTTCGGTGTGTGTGTGTGTGTGTGTGTGTGCGCGTGTATACTCGAAGTACGAATGTCGCCCTAAACTCTAAACTCTAAACCCTGAACCCTGAACCCTAAACCCTAAACCCTAAACCCTGTCTTCATTGCTCAAGGCAGAGGTTTATCGGCCCCAGCGCTTTGCTCTAGTTGCCGCTAACCAGCTCAATCCCGAGCATCACGAGGTCCATTGAGACAAAACGAACCCGAAGAAACACTTCATGGGGGTTAGGGTTTAGGGTTTAGGGTTTAGGGTTTAGGGTTTAGGGTTTAGGGTTTAGGGTTTATGTTTTTTTGGGGTTTAGGGTTTAGGGTTTAGGGTTTGCTGTGATAGGGCGTAGGTGCTGTGAAGGTTAGGTTTCGGAACAAGCTCGAAAGCTTCGTAAGGTGCGAAGAGCAGCTTTGGCCCGATTTTGGAGGGCCATCTAACACTTTTCTCCCACCCCACGCCGTCCGAGGCGGCACAGCCACCCCAAACCTATTCCTTTTAGGGTTTAGGCCTAAACTCAAGGCAACAGTCCACTTCTAAAATCTTATTCAGTTTCATGACGTTCGGGGTTGGGTCCGAGAGTCAAAGGAAGCGGGCCAGGGGGGGCCAGGGGGGCCAGGCCAGGTCCTGAGTTTAGGTCTTAGGGGTTTGGGTTTAGGGTTTATAGGGGTACAGGGTATCTGACCCCATTCTCAAAAAGCATCCAACATGGCTGTTGGCCTTTGGCATTCTGTCCTGCATCTATGCCTCCAATGCTGATAAAGCGCATAAAGCTGGCAGCCAGCCCTGATCCCATAACACCAAACACTTCCCAAACCCTAAACCCCAAACCCCAAACCCTGAACCACAAACATGGGATGTTCCCCCTTGCACTAACAGTCCGTAATAGGGATTATAGATATCCCTATCAAGGACTGTTAGTATAAGGGGAACATCCCAACGCAAACCCTAAACCCTACACAACAAGACATAATCATAATCATAACAATAATAACAAGAAGAATTATCATGATCATAATAATAATGAGATTATTGTAACAGCAATGATAACAATAATAGTCATAATACTGATCATAAAAAATAATAATCATGATGCTAATAATAATAATAATAGTAATAATAATAGTAATAATAATAGTAATAATAATAATAATAGTAATAATAATAGTAATAATAATCGTAATAATAATAACAATAATAGTAATAATAATAAAAATAATAGCAATGAGAATCACACAGACACTGAGGCAAAGCGACGCCAAAACCCCACAGGGAGAATTCGGAGCCAGGGCTGAATGAGGCACGCAGGCGGCTGCTTTATTGCTAGGGTTTAGGGTTTAGGGTTTAGGGTTTAGGGTTTAGGGTTTAGGGTTTAGGGTTTGTGGTTTGGGGGTTTAGGGGTTTAGGGTTTAGGGCATCTGAGGCTTTGGGACCGTTGACATGGTTTAGGGTTTGTGGCTTAGAGCGTGAAAAGGGGTTAGGGTTTAAGGTTTAGGGTTGATAGGGTTTAGGGTTTAGGGTTTAGGGTTTACAGGCTTTAGGGCGTAAGGTTTACGGCCCACATGAAGGGTTTCGAAGAGATTTCAAGCCTAAACCCGGCCGCAGATGCGATGAGAATCTCTGTGCTCTCCCTGAGGGTATCATCAACCCTCTCTTGGTTTAGGATCTAGGGTTTAGGGTTTAGGGTTTAGGGTTTAGGGTTTAGGGTTTAGGGTTTAGGGTTTAGGGTTTAGGGTTTAGGGTTTAGGGTTTAGGGTTTAGGGTTTAGGGTTTAGGGTTTAGGGGGCTGCACTTCATGGGGTTTAGAGTCCAGGGTTCAAGGCTCGTTTAGGGTTTCGTGTTTCGGGTTTAGGGCTACGGTTTAGGGCTAGGGTTTAGGGTTTAGGGCTCGGGCTTCTGCTTTGCGGCGTAAGGGACTAGATGGCTTTGAGGCCTCGGGTTGTAGGTGTGCTGTCCGGAAGTTTATTGCCTCCGCATCTTGAGGTGTTTCGGGTTTAGGGGCCTTTCGGGTTTAGGGTTCAGAAGGTTTAGGGTTTAAGGTTCAGCCCTAAACCCTAAACCTTCAATCCTAAACCCGATTGATTAAACCCTAGGCCTCAATCGGAAGCCCCGACCGCTTAGGAACAGTCTTGGGCTTGGGCCCATTGGTTCGGTAGAGCATCAGGTCTAGGGCCTGGGGTTTAAACCGTCTAGACCTGAAACCCTCGGCTTTCACTCCTAGACCCTCAGCCCGAAGCCCTAAACTACACTAAGCCCGAAACCCTAAACCATAAACCCTAAACCCTAAACCCTATACCCTAAACCCTAAACCCAAAACACCCGCCAAAAAAGCAGAAACCCTAACTAAACCTGAAACTCTAGACTCAGGTTTTGAACCAGCACCTCGGTTTGTGGCCCTGTTTCCCCATATTCCTCTGTCTATCACACTTTAGGGCTCAGGGTTTACAGTTTAGGATATCACACTTTGGGGTTAGGGTTTTCGGGTTTAGGCTTCAGGGTTTAGGGCTTTCCTTTGTTGCAGCAATTTTGGCCCACCGCGCCGCGCTGCGAGTTTTTGTTGCTGTCGTTGCCCTTTGGGCCCCAGTTTCAGCAGGACTGGGCATGAGCAGGCTTCTGACTAAGATAGGGGTTGGAGAATTACTAGTTATATTCCCGTATGGTCCCTTTATAAATGTACAAAAAACAACCTCTCAACACCCTATTCTCATGATTTAGCACCCTAAGGCCCTAAACCCTAAACCCTCAACCCAAAGCCCTATTCCAATTATTAAAGACCCCTGTAGTATGGGGTTTGAAATGCTTCTGGCTCAGGGGCTTAGGGTGTTGGCGTTTGGGCTTCGGGATGCTTCGGGCGTCAAGGCTTTGAGCATAATCAGGTTAGTGTAGGATTTAGGGTTTTGGATTTAGGATTTAGGGTTTGGGGTTTAGGGTTTAGGGTTAGTGTAAGATTTGAGGTTTAGGGCATTGAGTCTATGTAGGGTTTGGGGCGTCTTTTGGGTTGCGGGTTCTACGGTATCATGCAGCATGCATGTACCCACAAAGGCATGACGTACTCAACCCTGACCCTGAGGCCGCAACCTCAAACCTCAGGGGATTTAAGGTCTCGACCCTAAATCCTAAACCCTAAACCCTGAACCCTAAACCCTAAACCCTAAACCCTGAACCCTAAACCCTAAACCCACGGAACGCAGCCTAAATTGAAGATCAGCCTTCTCCGCGCAGGCGTAATCCTGGTGGAGGGATCCAAGGAAGCCCAAATGCCAACAGAATGATGGTAGCCCTTGGGTTGGTGTTTTGGGAAACCCCCTAAGCTCTGAATGTAGAGTTTGGAGGCGGGCCTTTTTTCCCCACCCTCGGCGCCTAACCCCAGGGTGCCCAACCCCAGAGTGTCCCTGGAGTGCCCAACCCCAACCTCAGAGTATCTCTAGCCAGAGAGGGTGGGGATGTTCGAAGTAAAACATTTGGGAGTTGATGTGTGTGTTTTTGTGTTGCAGGGGTTGGGGCGGGGGGGTTCGGGGGGGAAGTTCGTGACACGAGAGCGGTTGGGAGTCCACAAAAAAAGGCAGCAGTCCCACCGCAGACACCAAACCCTAAACCCTGAACCCTAAACCCCTAAACCCTAAACCCTGAACCCTAAACCCCCAAGCCCCAAACCTTACGAGAAGCCTAAGAAGTCCTTGGGGTCTGGAGAATGGTGCCCCCAATGTGCGGAGTCGCCAAGAAGATGGTTTTCCTTATTGAAAGCAGCCTTTCTTAGGGTGTAGGGTTTAGTGTTTAAGGGTTTAGGGTTTGGGTTTAGGGTCTAGGGACTCCAGAAGGCTCACAAAGGGTTCCCTGATCAATTCTTGCGTAATATTTACTGTATGATGTAGGATTTAGAGGCCAAGGTTTGGGTGGGGTCTAAACCCTGAACTTTGGGGGCCCTCCTTGTTCCTCCGCCCCTTTGGAAAGGACAATGAGGGCCGCTGGTGGCTATCGCCTCCAGTCCCAACTGCTTACTTGGGTTTAGGGTTCAGGGTTCAGGGTTCAGGGTTCAGGGTTTAGCGGTAGGGTTTAGGCTTCAAGGGCTTAGGGTTTAGGGTTTAGGCTTTAGGGCTTAGGCTTTAGGTAGGCTTTGCATGCAAAGCTGCAAAGCTCAGGGCTTCATGTGTTGAATTGGGTTTAGGGCCCTGCTGCCGAGCGAGAGGTTTGCATTCGTAAGCTCAAGACAGGGGGTTTAGGGTTTAGGGTTTAGGGTTTAGGGTTTAGGGTTTAGCACCCTAAGCCCCTGGGTTTAGGGTTTAGGGGCCTAGAGGTTTAGGGTTTAGGGTGTAGGGTTACCGGAGGGTTTCAGAGCTGGGCGTTGAGGGTGAAGGGTTTCAGGTTTAGGCTTTCAGTGTCGAATTTCAGGGTTGCAGGGTTTAGGGAGTTTGGGGTTTGTAGGGCTTACGGGGTTTAGGCTTTAGTGGGTTTCGGGCTTCTCTTATGGATTGTTTTTTTCGGGCTTGGGGTTTAGGTTAACCGAAGCCTTAAACCCTAAACCCTAAACCCTAAACCCTAAACCAATTTGGGGATTTTTCTCTACTGAAGGGTGGAGGCTCCTAGAAGCAGGGAGGTTTCTGGGAAGAATCGGGTGCCCAAAGGCCTTTTCAAGCTAATTGGGTTTCCCCTTAGGGTTTAGGGTTTAGGGTTTAGGGTTTAGGGTTTAGGGTTTAGGGTTTAGGGTTTAGGGTTTAGGGTTTAGGGTTTAGGGTTTAGGGTTTAGCCCCCCCGCTCCCCCCGCCCACCCCCGCATGGCCTTTGTGGCTTTAGGGTTCAGGACTCGCAGTAAACCCTTCAACTAGGGAGTGTTAGTTTGGGTTTTGGGGTTTAGGGTTGGGGTTTAGGGTTTAGGGCTTAGGGTTGGGGGTTTAGGGTTTAGGGTTTAGGCTTAGGGTTTAGGGTTTAGGGCTTATAGGGTTTGGGGTTTCGGGTTTAGGCGCGCATCCACAGGCAGCCAGTCTTCCGGGCACAGCCTCTCAGACCTGGGCGACGCTCCCTGCGTGCAGCGCGCGATAAGCCACTGGGCCTGCCAGGGTTTAGGTTTTAGGTTTTAGGTTTTAGGGTTTAGGGTTTCTTACATTCCAGAACCTTTGCAGAACTTAGGTGAAGGGTCGGTTGTTACGGGTATTAAAGTTGAGACAATGCCGAAGCCCACCGTGATGGACAGGGTTTAGGGTTCAGGGTTCAGGGTTTAGGGTGTTGTTGGCGCACGTCGTGGGCCCTATAGGTTGGCTTTCACGCGAGGCCCCGAACACCCAAACCCTAAACCCTAAGCCCTAAACCCTAAACCCTAAACCTCACCCCCTACACACTAACCCCTAAACCCTAAGCCCTTAACCCTAGACCCTAGACCCTAAACCCTAAACCCTAAACCCTAAACCCAAAACCCTAAACCCTAAACCCTAAACCCTAAACCCTAAACCCTAACCCTAAACCCTAAACCCTAAACCCTAAACAAACTCAGCATGTCGACGGGCTCTCAACTTCAGGCACCAACTTGTCCATTCGCCGGAACACCAGCAGCTTCGCACTCCTTATGCGGCTGGAGGCCATCTTTCTCCAGGGAGGTTTTCTAGGGTTTAGGGTTTAGGATTTAGGGTTTAGGGTGTAGGGTTTAGGGTGTAGGGTTTAGGGTTGAGGGTTTAGGGTTTAGGGGGGTTTTGGAGTACTATACTTTAATATTTTTTGGTTTTGGGTTCCCATTATAGCTGCTTTTGCCTAAAAAGTATGCTTTTGTCCAAGGGCTACTCCAGAGGTAGGTTCTGGGTGTAAGGCAAGAGCAGCTTGTAGTATTTGTTCTTCTGATTGTACGTAACGTAGTTCTGTATCCCTGAGACTCCAACAAATATTGCGCAAGTAGTCAAGTAAGCTACCTTCTCTAAACCCACAACCCTAAACCTTAAACCCTAAACCCCTAAACCCTAGACCCTAAACCCTAAACCACACACACCCTAAACCCCAAACCCCAAACCCCAAATCCCAAACCCCAAACCCCAAACCCCAAACCCCAAACCCCAAACCCCAAACCCCAAACCCTAAACCCTAAACCCTAAACCCTAAACCCTAAACCCTAAACCCTAAACCCTTACCTTGGGCGGGGGGGGGGGGGGGGGGGGGGGGGGGGGGGGGGGGGGGGGGGGGGGGGGCAAGTCGATGCCTCTGAGCCTCGCAGTCTATGTGTCCAGTCCGGGGCAGGGGGTCGAGGAGCAAAATGTGGTCATTGTACGGTTTGGGGTTTAGGGGTTAGGGGTTCAGGGCTTCGGGTTTAGGGTTTTGGG